AGCCGGAGAACGAAGAGGAGGAAGAATGGAGCAGAGTGTCACCGGTGAGCCCCAGTTCCACGTGAAGAAGATTGTCAATGCAGCTCCCGGACTCCAAGGATCTCATGTTTCACCAGCCGGAGGAACTACCTCTTTGAAGAGTTCCTCACCAAGTTTTGCATGCGCTATGAACAGCTTTTCATCATCTACCGCACCAGTAGAGCCTGCCATGAAGGACCCCAACCTGTCGAAGATCAAGTCCAAGGAGACGATGGACGAGTACTACCTGGGGATCCCAATGGGCAGCAGTTTCACCAATGCTGGCATTTTGCCAACTCCAGGCATTTTGCCTGATGCTTCAGCCTGCAGCAAGAAGCGGAAGAAGAAAGGTCAGCAGCCCCACTCATCTGACAGTGACGACACCGGCCAAGGCCGAAGGCTGACCGAAGACGACACCGCCTTCCTGCTATCCCTGGCTGAAGAGTATGAACAAGGATGTGAGGACATCATGATGAGCCTGATGGCGGATCAGGTCAAGAAGCCTCCAAAGATCATGGAACTCTGCTGTGAAGAGGACAGTGGACTCACCACTGCATTGGAAGCTCAAGGAGGCCTTGGAATTCGTTGCGGTCTCTTCAACGACTGCGACCTCAACAAGAAGTCTGGCTTCAACAAGGTGATCCAGCTCCTGAAGACCTATAAACCCGACGTACTATGGGTATCGCTACCTTGTGGGCCAACTTCCGGCATCCAAGAGCTCAACAAGCTGACCGAAGAAGGTCGAGCCAAAGTGGAAAAGAAGGTTCAACGCTCAAAGCGCCTGGCAAGCAGAGCAGTGATCATCATGGAGCTCCAGATCCAGCAAGGCGGCGAAGTCTTTCAAGAATGGCCCAAGTACAACAAGGCTTGGGAGTTTCAGTGCATCCAGAACTTCTGGCGCCAACACGGAGGTTTTGAAGCTGTCTTCGATGGTTGTGCCTATGGACTCCGAGCTCCAGAAGGTGGATTGATGAAGAAGCCCTGGAAAGTGAAGAGCACTTCACAATTGGTATGGCAGCTTCAGAGGCTATGTCAATGTCAAGAACCTCACGTTCCATGTGAAGGAGGAACCCGCACTCGGCTGTCAGCTCTCTATCCCAAGCAGCTGTGCGACAAGATGGCCCGCTTGGTGAAGTTCATCCACGAGCACTCTGAGGACCAAATCATGACGGTGGAGAAGACGCCTGATTATGACCCGGAGTCAGTCCTCAAGAGCACAGACCAAGAGCTGATGCGAGTGGCAACGGATCTGCTGAATCTCCATAAGAAGCTGGGCCACCCAGGACGACAAGTCTTCATCAAGATGCTGCGAGACCGTGGCGCTTCCACCATGGTCAAGACGATTGCGGCAAATCTGCACTGCGTGGACTGTGAAGAGTCTGCCATTCCACCGGCCCGACGTGCAGTGACCCTGGAGCAAGCCACTGAGCTCTGGGAAGTGATACAGCTGGACAATATGGAGTTCACAGTGGGCGACGAGACCTTCCACTTCCAGGTGATCGTGGATGAGGCTTCCACCTACGGGGCAGCGAACTTCCTCTTCAAGCACCCCGTCTCTGCCAGCAGGAATCCAACTACACCAGAGATGCTTCAGGCCCTTCACCAAGGATGGATCCAGTACTTTGGCTACCCCAAGTGCATCAAACTGGACAAAGAAGGTGCTCATCGAGGCCGACAACTGGAAGAATGGGCCGGAGGCCATGGCATTGAGATCGAGGCCATTCCTGCCGAGCACCATGGATCCATCGGCCAAGTTGAGAGGTTGATTGGCACCCTGAAACAAAAGCTCATGGCACATCTGAGGTCAACTGAGGCTCCACCAGAGATTGCCACATGGGCAATGATTGCGGCTCACAACACCATGAGCAATGTTGGCGGCTACACGCCAATGCAATGGGTTTTCGGTAGAAACCCCACTGAAGCAGACCGCCTACATGATGGACCAGATCTTCCCTACTGGTCGGGGATGAGCACCGAGGAGAAGATGAAGGATAGGCTGGAACAGAGGTTGCAAGCAGAGAACCTTCATCGCAAGTTGACGCTGCAGCACAAGCTCAACCAAGCGGCCAACACCCGCATGCAGCCACCGGTGCGCTACCATCCCGGCGACTTGGTCTACTACAAGAGGTACCAACCTCCAGCTGATAAGCGGGAGAGATCTCATCATCTCCTGGACATCCCTCGCAGACGTGTTGCACGCTGGTATGGACCTGCTCGCATCCTGGCTCTCGAAACAAAGACCAGCTATGAGGGACAAGTTCGGCAACCTCATCTGGTAGCTTGGATCATCGCCAGTGGAAGATTGAAGCGGGTGCACGCGAGCCAGTTGCGCTTCGCTTCGGAAAGAGAAAGAGTGATTGCAGAGAGCCATACACCATTGGCGACACCCTGGACCTTCAACGACCTCACCGACATCATTGCCAAGGGCGAGTTCGATGATGACACCATGACCCAGCGGCAACAGATGAGTGCAGCTCTGCGGCAAAGAACTGGCACTTTGAACCCCGAAGAGTCTGCCTCCAGGAAGAGACCAGCCTCACAAGAGAGACCAAGGGAGGAAGAAGATGCTGAGATTCTGGAGCCATCACCAACGGGGCACTCGGAACCATCACCAACGGGGCATCATGAACCGGGACGAGGCTCAGACGAGCCCTTCTTGGCACCTGAAGCACCACTAGATCCTCGCCATGAGATCCAAGAAGATCTTGATGCACAGAGGCTGATGGCAGACCAACACCACTTTCCCCTGGGCTCAGGCGAGCAAGGACCACTATTTCAACACGCATCTTTTCTTCGTGCCCGAGCTCGCCATGAGAGAATGGAGAGGCCGTATCATGTGCAGCGGCAAGATTTCCTTCGCCAACAAGAGCTGCGTGGCTATGACTCTCCAATGGCAGAATCAGCAATTCCATCTCCGAAGACACCAAGTCCTCATGAGGAGCAAGCTGACTATGTGGATGAAGAGCTCAACATGGAAGAGCTTTTCTTGGCCGAAGACTTTGAGGACTACGTCTTTGCCGTCACCATCCCCGAGCCCAAGACAGAGGCGGAATGGAGGTCGATTGTCAAAGACCCTTCCAAATTTGTGGCAAAGAAGATGGCCAAGGGAGTTGAAGTCAGCTGGCAGAAGCTCAACAACGTCCAGAAGCAAGCCATGCGAGAAGCGAAGGTCCTAGAGATCAATGACTGGTTGGCTTCTGAAGTTTGCCGTGCAGCCATTGGCAAAGTGCCCACTGAGAGGCTCATGCGCATGAGGTGGGTCCTCGTGTTCAAGCAAACGGACACACCGGGCATGATCAAGGCAAAAGCTCGCCTCGTGGTTTTGGGATTCACAGATCCCGACGTTGGTCTGGTCTCCGTTCGATCACCAACTTTGTCAAGGAGGGGGCGACAATTGATGCTTGCGATGTGCACACACAAGCAATGGGGCTTCCTCAAGGCCGACGCCAAGACCGCCTCCCTACAGGGCGAGATGGGCCAGCAGCACCGGCAGATTTTTGGACAGCCAGTCCAAGAACTAAAAGAGGCAATGGGCCTGAAAGAAGGCCAGGCAGTACAGTTCCTGAAAGCTGCCTATGGTTTGACCATCGCCCCTCGCGAGTTCTACTTGTTTGTAGATGAGGTGTTGAAGAAGCTGAACATGGAGCGCCTCACCACTGAACCATGTCTGTGGCGCCTCACGGACTATGACCCTCGGCTGCAGAAACAGGTCACCATTGGCCTCGTAGGAGCCCACGTCGACGACTTTCTCATGACTGGAGATGAAGGGCATCCCAAATGGTCTGAGTTCCTGCAGCGATTTCATGAAAGTTTGAAGTGGTCACCGTGGGAATGCGCTCCCATGATGCATTGTGGCGTCCACCTGTCACAAAAGAGCGATGGTGGATGGATCCTGGACCAGAAGGAGTTCTGCGAGTCCCTCAATCAGGTCCAGGAAGATGGCCACACCAAGGAGCTCACTGAGTCTGAACGACGACAATGCAGAGCTGTGCTTGGATCAGCTCAATGGCGAGTCTACCAGACGGCACCTCATCATGCCGCGAAGCTCAGCCACCTGCAGTCGATCCTGCCGAAGGGTGAAAGAGAGGTCCTCAAAGAGATCAACAAGTTCACCCGCGAGCTCTATGGCCAGAGGAATGTGACCTTGGAGATGCATAACCTCTACGCCGAGAAGGACGAGGATGTGGTGGCAGTGGCATGGTCAGACGCAGCACTGGCCAATCGCGCTGATTTGGGCAGCACCGGCGGCATGCTGATCGGACTGATCCACAAAGACATGGTGGACAAGGGCCAGAAAGGTCCGGTGAATGTGATCAGCTGGGGTAGTGCAAAGCTTCGTCGAGTATGCCGCAGCAGCCTGGCAGCAGAGACCCAAGCTTTGGCCGAAGCAGAGCAGGAGCTCATGTTCGTCCGCACGATGTGGATGGACATGATGGGAGAGAAGGTGAACCTCCATCGACCAGGAGACACGGCTCAGAAGATGAGGGGCTTCCTCATCACGGATGCGAAGGCCTTGTACGACTCTTGCCAACAGGGCGATATGCCTTCCTTCTCCTCCAAGGAGAAATACACGGCCTTGGAGATCTTGGCCTTGGTGCAAAACATGAAGCTCCAGGCCACAGAGCTGCGATGGTGCAACTCGGACATGCAGCTGGCCGACGGGCTGACGAAGGTGGGAGCTCAAGATCGCATGCGGCGATTCTTAGAAGAAGGTCAGCAGTGGAATGTGGTCTACGACCCAAAGTTCATTGCCGCAAAGAAGCTCCGGGCCCGGCGGCTGCCTGCGGATGCTCCTGAGACTGAGGAGTTAGGATTGGGTGAGAGCACGTGGCTGGATCTGATCGGAAGCTCACACACGGGGCATGTGAACAACTCAGCTAAACATATGTGTTTCGCTTCCGGTCAGTGAAGGACATGTGTGACTTCCGTGAACCTTCCGGTTCAAGGGAACCCTTCAGCCATTGGCCTTCACAGGCCGTGAGGGCTACTGTTGCGCAAGTGCCGCCATAGCTGTGGCACCCTGAGGCCTTGACAGGCCGCGGAACAAAGACGCCCGAAGACGGGCCCTGGTGTGCGGAAAAGAACTGCTACCTGAGCGTGGCCTTTGATTTGGTTGGAAAGAGCACTTCACCTTCAAAGGTCACCCAGCTACCGACACTGAGTCTGCTGTTTTGATCTGTTTTGCTTCATGCCCATTGTCTCTCCTGACACTCTGCAACGATGCTGCCTGCATCGTCACGCTGCGCTACTTCTAGAGGGTAGTCGCCTGATCATTGAGAGACAATGAAGGAAGCCCACAACTTTCAGTGCTTCTCATGTTTCCCGGGGGCAAGAAGGCATCGGTGGGTTGATTGAGAGAATCAAGGTTTGAGTGGCAAATGGAAACACAGCGGCGAGGATACCCCCGCGTTTGAGCTTGGAGCCCATGTGCACTTCTGGACTGCTCAGGCTCACAAGGAACAAATGAGTGGCGAGGTGAAAGATGGACTGATGCAGATGAGTGGAATGTTGTTGTTCCTAGTAGTGCCTTGCTCCTAGTAGTGTGGCCAGGAGCCCCTAGTAGCGTTCTTGTTACTAGTAGCGATGCCAGGAGCCCCTAGTAGCGTGGCCCTTTGCTCCTAGTAAGGAAAGTTCAAGGGAACGGAGCACCGGAAGGTTCTTTGCCCTTGTCAAACAGCCCTTCCCAACATTGCCTAGGGCTGGCCAACCAAGATGAGCTCGTGTCATTTACCGGTTGAAATTGGTAATTGACGATCAAGTGAAGAAGTTGCCGTCCGGAGCTCTAAGAGAGTCTTCATCAGCACAGGGCTCCAAAAGCTAGGAATCTCATGCTGACCCAGCCAATGCATGCTGACCCAGGCACCTCAAGGACCTGTGATGCGACAAAACATCCAAGCGTGGCAAGCTGGCATCACTGAGGTGGATCAGGTGGATCTGCAAACCGTGGCGCTGTGGCAAGTGATGTTACTCTTTCTGTTGGAGATCAAACCCCACAAGGTTTGGATGGACCAATGCAGCCAGGACCGCGGATGCAATCACCTTTTCCAAAGGGATTGATATTGGTGAGCAAGCACCACTGCTACAGTCAAGTCAGTCACCACCAGAGGGTGATGACTTAGAGTTCGAGATGGTGGAGGGAAGGCCTTGACTTGAGGCTGTCAGGGCCAGATCTGTGTGCAAGGATTACGGCAAAATGTCAGAGGGAGAGTGCATAAACCATGCACATGGATCATGAATGCGTGGTCGTGGAATCATGGAGAGTTTCTGAACACGAAGCATGAAAGCCTTCGATTGCTGTAAGGCGTTTTTGGCCATAAAGAAAAGATCCAGGTCCACATTGCTCAGTATTATATAACACTGTTTCTTGCATCAACGATTTGCTTATATTATAGAGGCTGTTCCCGGCGTCCATGAGCTTCTGTCCACCGATTGAGGACTCTTGCGGCGCTATTTAATCTATAACGACATACCTCTTCATTTAAGCCAACGCATCATCCGCTTTCTTCAGCACGGGTGACTTGACGAACAAGTGCAACTTTCACTCGTCTCACTCAAATTCTTCTGTGTGCTCAAGCCATCTCAAGCCCAGGTATCGGATTCGCAATGAGGCACTGTCAGCAGGAAATCATTTGCCTATCTTGGACTTGCTCTCCCAGTCGCTGCAAGGTTGCGAGGGGCTGCTTTTAATGTGGATTTCAATTGGTTACTAAATGAAGTGCCTTTGATCCTCAAATTCATTATTGTTTCTTGAACTGATCCGTTTTTTGGACTGGGCCTAGTCCTACCAACTAGCCTAAACATTTCAACAGATGGCAATTGACTTATATAAGTAATTTGAGAGGCGAATTGCAATTTGAACGCTACCGTGGGTGCTTGAATGAATTGAAATTCATTGAGCAGCTACCTGCGGAAAGTCGAGCCTTGGACCATGTCAGGCTGCTTTTACGTTTGAAGACCGCTGTTGCCGTCAGCGCGCCAGTGTAAACTCCTAATTGACTCTGTGTATTCGTGCTTTGCATGTCACTCAGGACAGACGGTTCAAGTGATGCACAAACTGGCGATGAGGGCCATAATAAACACAGTTGTGGGCAATGATGACGTAATCTTTTGCGCCGCGGATTGGGCAACATCTGCCTACTGTGCGCAGAGTGGTCGGCTGACGCCAAGCTGCAAGGAAAGACGTTTTCTTATTTAGCAGGGAGATTCGGTGAGGATGTTAGATCAGGCAAAAACATGTGGGTGGTTGAAAGGAAACTTCTCCCATTCTGAGGGTGGGAAACTTTGTTGAAGAACCCTTGCTGTCCAATATGATTTTTCTAGATTAGTTGGTGATGGATCGGTCTGAGAGGTGTTGCTGGGATTGAGCCTCAGCCGAGCTTGGCTTTGAGCAATTGTTAGGCACTACCATGGCGACGAGGAAGGTGAGCCAGTAACAACAATTCAAGGTTGTGACTTGGCTGTTGCTGGTGCCGCACAGGGTCAAGGCGTGGAATGGTTACATAGCTCGAAATGCATTCGAAGGGTTCAACATGAATCAGGTGTGCTCTTGATGTGAACACGCAGTACTACAAAGTGCTTGTTCAGAAACATAATATGTGGAAGGGCCGCTCTGGAATAAGTTTCTAGCTGTTATATATACATATATAAACAAAACACGGTAAAATCACACTTTGGGCTTGAGCGACCTGTTCAAAAGTTGTTATTTTGTTGTCCACATCAATGTGTCGAACGCAGAGGTAAAATGCATGTTTTTTGCATAGCCAATCCAGCAAAGACCAAAATAGCCACCCACCCCACAAAGATAATCAAAAACATCAATACTCTGAGGCTCTTGGATGGGAACCCCTACTACAAACGTCAAACATCAACACAAGAACACAACGCATCAATATTCTAAGACTCTTGCCTCCTTTCCCCTCTAAATTAAGGCACAACCCCCCCCCAGACAATTGTTTTTTTGTGCGTGTTGTTGATTCTTGAAAGCTGAAGTGTTTTTCCCTATTGTTGCAGTGCGGGGGTGCAAATGCAATATGTTCAGAATATTGTTCTTTTCCTTTGCTGTATTTTGTTCAAGGTGTTTGTTTTTGCTGTTCTTACTTCGTGATTTGTTCGCTATCCGAGTTTGGGTTTGGCAATGTTTTTCTTTGACAGTTGTCTTTCTTTTTTCGCCTGAATGTTTGGTAGTATACTGTATTTGCAGCTTTGTTTGCTTTATTCCGTATCCTAATGGGCTGAATGATGCGGCCCCTCGCTGGCAGCTTGTTGCAACTCTCTGTGCGTTCCTTGCCCTCTGTCCTTTTCTTCCCAAGACTTGATTCTGGAACAATGTGTTTTTGTTCTTTTCTGGACGTTATTTTGTTCTCTTAACCCCTTGAATCTCAACACTTCAGGACAATTGTTTTGCTCTTAGTATTGGTGTGGTTTTCCTTATTTGTGTACCCCAGCATGTTGATTTCTCTATATTGAATTTGGAATGTGTTTTTCTTCTTGAGAGAAACACGTCTTTAGAGAGTACCATTGAAAGAACATATCTCAGTTTTTCACTTGAGGGTGCTTTGAAAGGAGCAGATACTAAGACAGAAAATATGCTTTCAACATGCATGTGCAAATCAACAGGGAATGGGGTGTTCTTGAAAGAGGAGTTAGAAGTTGTGCTCTTGATAAAGAAGGAAACCGTTGAACAATGATGACATTCGTAGATACAATGATACAGGGTGTCTTTGAAGAAAAGGTTCAACGACAATGGCCTTTGAAGGGAAACGATTCTACTGTATTTGGATTTTTGTTCGTTTTGACATTGAGAGGGTACCTGGACACAGTTGTTCACTGGAGGGTGCCTCCAAAGGGGGAGAAGACATTGAAATAGAAGATGACTTCAAGAGTAAATAGCTAAGACAAAAGGAAAGCTTCGAGGCAGAGAACACAGCTCACTAAATGAAGCCTCTGAAAGGAAACATCCATAGAGAAATGTAAGACAGAAGGGAACGAACGTTCTGTTTTTCCCCTCATTTAATTGCTGTCATGTTTGCCTCACTGAATGCCCATTTGGAACTGCTGCCTGTTTTAATGTCAAAAACTGTGTTTCACTGTATTGTCAGCACTGTGAGGTCAGGCAATTGCAAAAGGATCAAAAACAATTAAGACAGGTTACAATTTGTCAGTCACTCTAGTTTCCCTAAAAATCTAGGAACCAAATGAATAGCACAAGCTATCCTGCGGCCTAGGTGGGAGCGTCCAGTACGTAATAGCTACTAATTAGCTTACCCCTTCCTAGAGCGGCTTACCCCCCCATCCCGGGCAATATATTTATTAAACACGACATACATAAACACAGTTGCCCACGACATACATAAACACAGTCGCCCTTAAGAACTAAATTTCACATCCCCGCTCTCCAAAAAAAGCGAGGCAATTCTTGGATTGCTGAGATGTCCCTGTGGACCCCATGGAGTCACATGGGCGATTTGGTCTCGGAGGAGGTGTCAAGAATTGTCGTGATGAATGTGGAACAATTTTGTGACACAGCTGCAGTGAAACGTACCTTTTAGTGTGTGATTTTTTGAAATCTGTCCACTAAGGCAAATGTGTGCGTGAAAGCAGCGAATGCCAGGCAGCAGCGGTAGCTTATGCCAAGGCCTGATTGGGAAGCTGGTTTGAGGGTTCTGTTTAACTATGCATATCTATGTCACAACATAATTGCCATTCTGTGACATTTGAGTTATGTGACATGTGACATGATTTTGGACTCCGATGTCAACTTGACACGTTTTGGCACCTCCACGAGAGCCGTGAAGTTCTTTGAGCGAGCCAGAGAGAGGAAACAACTTGTAGTTTGTGGGCCACACAATTCACATATGTATAAACAAGTGCAAGCTCGTGTCAGGACTATGTAGATCAGCTGAGAAAGTGCAACCAATTGAATGACCTTTTTGTCTTGACCAAAATGCAGCATAATCTCTCTCGGCAAGCATCGTGTCTTGACTGCAATACCAGTTCCTGGATGCGATTGTATTAAACATGTGACTCTTCAAGTGCGCCATCCCTCAGGGACGCCGTCCTCTAGTGCATCATAGGCTCATGTGCTCTGTATATTTTGCATATGGCCTGTCATGCCAAACATTGTTTTCTGAGGGTTGCAAGGGCCTAGGCGGCATGACATTGAACAACGTGATGACATTTTATCCCGGAGTTTCCAAGTCTCACATGGGCTTGTCTTTTTTTAAGGTGTCCAGTTTATGTAGGGCTGGGATGTTCGACTTAGGCGAAGCATACCCCGAAGCATACCCTGAAGCATACCCTCTCGAAATGCTACTACTTTAGTCTTCACACTGCGCGAAGCATACCCCGAAGCATACCCCCGAAGCATACCTCCGAAGCATACCCCATAGTCAAACATCCCGGCCCGGGAACCTTAAAATACAAACCCACATCTGGCTGCAGTATTGTTATTTGTTGAGAATGACCGGTGAAGGTGCAGAAGCAAAGGGCTATCGCGAAACGGTCGGTTCCACAAGCAGCCGCATTTGCTTGAGAAAATACTTTGGTGATGCTCAAGTAACCGAGGTTGCTGGTGGGAACACTGGAATGTTCACACGGGAGCAGTCTTCTTAATTGAATGAAAGGTTCTTAACATTTTCTGTCAAGATGCAATCCCACTCCAAGCCCTCTAGTCTTGGCCCGCGCTTTGTGCTTTTTTCCCGACAGCGCCTGCCTTCCAACATTCCTAAAGAAGCTATTGAAAATAAATACATGTTCATCTCTCATATTTTTCCCACACACACACACACACCGGTCTCTCTCTCTCTCTCTCTCTCTCTCGTTTTCTGTGGCTGGACCCCCTCAGCTTGTGCAATTGAGGCACCAAGTTAATTGCATTAAGATTGAATGCCCCAAAGGACAATATTTGACAAACTTAAGGCAACAGATCAATGTTCGCAAATTATTGTTTTTGCTATTATAAACAATTCTTGTGTTGCCCTGGTTCTTGCTTGGCATTTCTTTGTCCTGAGGATCCAATCTGCGGCGCCCCACAAGCGCTGCTGTCGATTCTTGAGCTGGAACAATGAAGTGCACCCAGCTGACTAGACCCGGACAGTTTGCCTCAAGACCAGAAGAGAGAGGACACACATTCATTGCAACTGTGCGCTCATTTCTACGCGATGAATAGATATTTGGAGATCCAAAAACACAAAAGTATACAAACGTGTTTCTTCTGTGTTGTGTTCAAAGCTGGTCAACGACTCCAAACCCAAACTCTGCGTCAGAGACGCAAGCGAAGAATCCGCTGGTTAGATCAGTAGATCTGTCCTGCCAGACAACATGGCAAAGCCATGCTGCATCTGGAGGAAAGGATGATTCTGGCTGACTTGAACATTCGAGACCTCGCCTTTATCATGCCCAGATAGTTTTGAAGTTGACGTTCATTTCTTGGTACAGTGTCACTGTCAAGTCTAGGTTTTGTTGGCTCGAATGTAGAATGGCCACTGTTTACTGTCTTTTGTGTGAATGTCTTAGCAGGACAGTCACGCAGCCATCCTTTCAAGCCTCAATGCTTTTCTGGTTTGGTCACCCGACGATTTTTGGTTACTGTTCATCACACCCACCCTGGAAAGCTGCCTGGGGAATTCCAAGCCAGTGCGTGGGGCAGGTGAATTAGATCGCTGCAGTTGTCACTATGGCGATTGCTTCTTTTTTTCACTTTCCCATCAAACATGTTTGAATTGAAAGGAAAATGCTATGCTGGTGCTGAACTTGACAAAGTAGCTGCGATACAGTCTACTACCTGAGCATCACCCGTGTGTTTTTGATCCCCCAAACTGACTACTAAGGACCCCAATGAGTATCAGCAGCTTTATTTGCACCTGGAATGATTCTCTCGTTTGTTCGGGAACTAGATGTAGATGAACTTATCAATCTGCGTGCACTGGAAACCTTGTCAGTTGAGAGAGCCCTTTCCTTGATACTCCAGGAGCACCAGACCTTGCACTGTGGCCGAACCTCTGAGCTTGGCATGTCTTTCTTCTGGAGAGGCTGCACGCAGTACATAACATGCTTTGCATGATGCATCTGCACTATACCAGTGCATAAGTCGAATGACAATTCTTAATGAATCGACGTAGAGCCTCTTGGCCAAAGAGTTTTGTCTTGTGCCTCTTCAGCTATGCATGCCTCTAGCCAATGGCTGATGGGCTGATGGCCGGCTCTTTAAGATGCCAGAATAGCCTTCATATATCTTGCATATGGGTTTGGTTGGTGGTGCCTCTATGTCAATCCACTAAATTTGCTGTTCAAGAGGTTGCTACCCAAACCCATATCTCTCATATCCAGCAGAAATTGAGGTGGGATCACATGCGAAGATGGGCAGTGCTAACACCTGGTGCGAACACCCTGAAACTCATTGAAACTCAGTCAAGTGTAGTATCCAAATCTTTCTCCCACACTGAAGTACAGGTACCAGAGACTTTCAACTGCAGTGTTCTGGCTCAGAGCTATAGTACTCCTGGCCTTCGGGAATTCGCGGTGACAGTCACAGTGCATACTTGATCCAAGAGGGGGCTTTTGACCTTGTTTGGCCAGCTCGTATCTCCAGGGCCCCCGGGTAGATCAGACAGGGGCAGGGCCTGAAGGCTCCAGAGCCGTCCAAGGACGCTTGTAGTCCGTGAGCGAGGACGCCCCTTGCAGGACAGCGTAAGGACGTGGAGGAGGAGCGTGAGGATCAAGAAAAGAGAAGAGGAAGAAGTCCAATGGCCTGGAGGAGAGCCCGGCGAAAACACATAAGAAGAACACCGCGGCCCCTTCAGAGGCTGAGGAAGCGAGCCGGAGGAGGAGAGCGAGCCTGAGGAGGAAGCGAGCGAGGACGCTGCCCAGTGCAGAGGCGCGGGAAGAAGCACCACTCCTGGTGGTTCGATCAGTGGGCCTGCGCCCACAGATAAGTGCAGAGAAGCACTTCAAGCATCCGAACTATTGGAAGGACAGGGCGCCGAAAAGGGCGACCGAGCTGGAGGCCGAGGATCCACGGAAGCTCTCAAAGTGGTAGAGCTTCGAAGCGCGCGGGGAGACCGGGGAGACCGAGAATTGTCGAATTAAGCGCATATCAAGCGCACCCAAGGGTGCGACTGTGCCCTCCCAATGTGGCCGCTTGGTGTGGGAGACTTTGCTGGTTCATGACCACCAATGTTCCATGGGGACGAGGTTGAGGAGATTCAGGCCGAGGCACTGCTGAGAGGAAAAGGCAGAGGCAGTGGAGGAGAAGCAGAGAAGTCAGGAGGAGATCTGGCTCGACCTCGATGGCTTCCGAGTCTTGCTCTTTTGGCCGGCGGAAGTGACGCCGCACCCCCCAGGTTGCCATCCAACCATACAATGCCTCTTTAGTCATGCTGAGGGAGTGGCAGTCCACTGAGTGGGCGGCATACGGCAAGTTGAGTTCGACCTGATGGTTAAAGCCCATTGCTACCTTCACGAAGCCTCCTCGAAGGAGCCCAATTTCCCATCTTCAGATTCCAAGTGTTGGTGAAGACCAGAGGCTCAAGACAGAGGAGTGTGTATGGGGTAGCGTGGCGAGAGGTAGTTTCGGTGTTGATGAGACCCATTTGCATGGCCTTCGAAGGAGACACCAATGCCAGGTGGAAGCGTGCTGGTGAACGCGGCCATAATGACATCAATCAAGTGGAAGATCATGAGGTGGGAAGTGATTTGGTGTAGGATTTCTGCACGGACAGTCGTGTTCCTCCGTGCCCTTACGGTGGAGCCACCTTCTGGCCCCGCCTGCTACTCGCGCATCACTGCAGGACCATGTTAGCCGAGTTGCATTTACCTACAAGAAAACCATTTAGCCGTTTGTCTCAAAGTATTCACCCAAAGGGCTAATGCACTGGAGTTCCAAGTTGGATACAGCTCTTGCGAGCATGGTTCGAAGTGTGCGCCGCAACAGGGTTGCACTGAGGTCTGTTGTGTGATCCCTACAGGGCACGTTGAGCATAGACCCTCAAGGGTGAATTGTCAGTGGTTCATCGTCTTGCTTGATTCCCTTCTGCGCAGCCGCTTGTTCGAGATCGCTGCTATCAAGCTGCAGAGCACACTGATATCACTACAAAGAATGTCATACCACGCTGCTACGTATTCATTTCGCCGTTGCTTTCTCTCTTGCTGTTCCTCTTCGTTTTCTTTCGTTGCTAGAGGCTTTTTATGTTTCAGTTTCATGTTAATTTTTAGTCAAGTGCTAAGTATTCACTCACACGTTTCACACTCAGTAATTCACGCACGGTCTTACTTTTTCTCCTTCTAGGATTCTTTTGTTTCTCTCCAGGTTTTCGTTCGTTTCGTTGCTAGAGGCTTTTTAGGTGTCAGGTTAAACGGCCAATGCAGCTTGGTCCATGGTCCAGAGTGACACTTGGCACTGTCCTGCGTGGGTCCCGCCACGTGCATGTAACCTGGCCTGGACTGCTGAAAGATCCCTGTGTATATGCATGTATGTGCACATGTATGCAGGTACAGTTGTCCTACTGCAACAAGCAAAACTACTACTTGTAAGCCTCACCTCGCACCGCCTTACCCCCCAAAAAACTTTGGTATCTTGTAATTTCTTTCTCGAAAGAAGGACCGAAACTCCAAATGGCCAGCCCGGCTTTCGGTTGGCTGGAAACGGCCAGTCGCCCGGCTTTGCTGGAAAAGAGGAAACCTTGCCCCCCTTGCTTTCCTTGTTTGCCTGCTTGTTGTCCTTGCTTGCCTTTGCCCTTGCTGCATTGAAAGCAATCTTGCCCGCGCTTTTCAGTCCAAGCCTGATTGAGTCGGCATAGGTAGTGCTGGAAACCACTTCACCTTGATTTCTCGTCATGTTTCATCATGTTTCCCTGTTATGTGCATGTAGTTTGGCAGAGATTCCAGCGGTGCAATGTCAATCAGTACCCTTTACTTCTGTGTTTCCTCCGCAAATTACAAGCGTGGCTCAGGCTCAGTTCCTGCACTCCTGCCTTTGTGTCGTGGTGGCACATCAATGTGACGATTCGCCAGTAGCGGAGAGGTACAAAAAAGTTTTGCATCGGATTCTTCGCACAGACAAAGCTGCTGATGAATGGTACGTGCAAGCAGCCTCGAAATCTTGAAGAGCAGGGAAAGGCATTTTGACGCATTTGCATTTCACTCTGCAAGCACTTCCCCCAGCCGCTCAGACTGTTTGCTGAAAGTAGGTATCGATGGGCTGTGGCCACATTGCGCGAATTGCAGCGTGCTGGGCTTGGGAGATTTTCCGCAATTCTTCCTGCTAGGATCGCACCTTACAGCCCCACATGCCTTGGCCTCGTATGCCTTATATTATAGTTTTCAAAGACAACACGTTGAAATAAAACACTTTGGCGGGCTGGACCCATTCAGCCTTGTTCGAAGCGAGGGTCAATGCAGGAACACCGCACCAACAATCCATGAGTTCATAACAAACAGGTACAGCAGCTTGGTAAATCTGGCAACGTTCAATAGTAGACGACGTATGAATCAATGAATGATCCAAGTCCGCTGAATACACGTGCTTGTCCGAAGAGCACAAAGCACAACCTCCACCTTGTTTTTGTCCCAGTTGCCACATGTTGCTGCTCATTTATTCTGCATATGCCAAGAACTTATAAGATGCTGATGCTTGTGGATGGTTCCCATTGACTCATTGTCCCCAGAGTGTTTTTGAATCATTGTGCTGGGCAATTTCAGCCCTCGTCTTCCATGGCGAACAGCATCAATGAATTTTTAGTGCCGCTCGACTCTGTCACGACTGCCCTTTCTTTCCTGTGCTCCCATATCCTGTCCACTGTGCTCGTCTCTGCCGATAGACCCTGGAGGTCGAGCCCTCTTCTCGGACACATGTTGATATTTTGATCTTGATCGTCGACGGCAGCGGTCAGCCATTTAAGCCTGAGACCGTCTGCCTAATGAGACTGGAAAGTGCCCAGAAAGCACCTCCAGATGAGTGGCCAATCTTCCAGGAATTTCACAGGACACCATAGAAGACTTGGACGTTGTATTCGATGATGGTTTCGGGGCGTCTCTGATTTCAGTATGGCGGAAGACATGGACAGTGACGCGAGTGGAGCAGCAACAGTGTTTCAGCGGCCTCATTACTTGCAGCTTCATTTCATTGACGTGCGTAGACACCAGTTTCTCTTAGAAGGGTTGACCTGTGATGGCAGTTTTTCTATGCAAGCACGCACAACTGTTTCCACCTGTGTCTTTCTATTTCCTCTCTCCCACTCTCTCTCGTCTTGCCTCTCTCTCTCTCTCTGTATGCATCAGATTTGCTTGATGTGGAGCCTTGAGGCAGCTTCACCTCCGAGCTTTGCAGTCTTCACCTTGGGAAACCACAAGAGCAATATAAGGGTGAAATGGAAGAAAGCGGTTTTGTGAGCAACGTTGAACGATTGTGGACGGACAGTCTACTTGATAGGAGCGGACTGCAAACCGTGCATTTGTAGTGGTGAAATGGCAATCCGGCACCGTGGAGTTTTATGTAGAGTAAGCTCCTAGTAGCGTCCTTGTTCCTAGTAAGGCCAGGAGCCCCTAGTAGCGTTCTTGTTACTACTAGTAAGGCACTT